AGGACTCAGGCTCAGAAGATAGAGAAGAATCAGTAAGAATAGAGAGACGATTGGAAGAAGAAGGAGGGGCCTTGGCTTGCTTCTTGGGGGAAGTGGAGGGTTAGAAGGTTTGGGGTGGTGAGGTTTAAAGGTAAGGGATTTAGGAGGAGAGGCAGATCTTGAAAAGGAGGGTAAACCCATTTGGGGGGGAGGACGCTTTTGAACAGGCCGATAGACTTGACGAGGGGTAGCCTTCACTTTTTCCTTTGGAACAACATCATTTTTTTTCTCATTCGAGACATGGGGACGGATTACCTTGCCTTGATTTTCCATCTGAACTTTGGCAATCGAAGCCCTTGCAATTTGATTTTTCTTGTGAGTGCGCATTTGAAATCCTTCACTATCATTAGTGATATTCTTTCTCAACGAATCTCGGTGGTCATTAGAATTAACAATCCTATCATTATTATCCTTAACATGCACACAATTAGAATTTGAATGCCCAAATATATTACAAAGAGAACACATAGGGGGCCTCCATTCATATTGAATACGTAAAGAGTGAATAGACATATAAAGAGTATAAGGGTTAGGGATACGAACCTTAACCACCTCAATCCAATCTTTCCTGGTGGGAACATCAAGCAAGACTCTAGCAAAAGCCGATTTTCCTACAGCATACTTGCACATGTTTGCAGTCCAAGAGTCCATGGCAATAGGTTTACCAATTTTACTAGCAATATAACTAAGACCCTCATCATTCCACACATCATAAAGAATATCATGGATTTTAACCCATAAGGGAATTCTATCATGCATGTTTAAATTAAGGTTTAGACCAAGCCTCCATTTTTGAAGAAAGATAGGGATATTTTTAAAACTCCATGGGCCATTGTCAATTACTTTTTTGATACCTTCTTCAGAGTTGAATTCAAACATAAAAATGCCATGACCATTTAAAAGGACATCTTCTATACCAAATTGGGACCAAAGTTTAGAGGCATAGTATCGGACCACAGGGAAGGGAAGACGTTTACCAACAAAATAACCACATAAAGTAGTAGCATAAGTATCACAACTTTTTTTAACAATAGATATAGGAATATCAATAGGAGTATCCACATCCTCACAAAGGTTAGGGATAAATTTAAAATTAGCATTAAGATGCTTATTAGAACCACTAAGCACATTGGCACGAGAAAGAGGTAAAATACTAGGATTAATACCATTCCAAACGGAATTGATTTTAGCATTAAAGTCGCCATTTTTCTGATCATTTTGAGAATTTAAAGTATTTTTTGGGATTTCAGAAATAATAGGAGAAGAAACAGCAGGCATAGGGGGTGAAAGGGTATGGGTATGCTTAAGCTGAAAAGAAGCAAGCAAGCCAGAAGAATCCAAATCACAAAAGTTATTAGAATAAGTAGTATGGATAGAAGTAGGCATACCTGGGCCATTATGGGAAGGACAAGGGATAAAGTGATCCTCTTTATCCAAAGAAGAAGAAGGCCTCGGCCTGTTAGATGAATCCACATGAAGCAACTTTGGGCTTTTGGCCTAAACAATGTCATCACTCTTATCACAATCCATTCAAGAACCCAACATTCAAGGGTACAATAGAAGAATATTTGTGGAGGCTGAAGGTCATAAAGATCGATGGAGATAAACATGGATGTGAAAACAAAGAAAAATTAATGAATCAGTTCTAAACTCACAGTTGTTCCAACTTGCTAGTGATTTTTAGATAAAGACTAATGAACAAAATGAAGAAAAGTGCAAAATTAAACATGAACCAACATGAACAATGTGCTAATCTCACAGATTCAAGCCTTAGATTCTAAAAATAGCAAGGTAGGCCTACACCGGAGGAGCATAGGGTGGAAAGCCCTCGACCCGATCATCCAACTCGCTCTAACAGACGAGATACGAGCGTCATCCCCACCCCTGCTTATACAGAATAATCTCCCCTTGGTTCGCTTTCTCTATCCGAGGTTCATTATGTTTCTTTTTTTTTTTTCTTTTAATAATTTTTTTATGGATTGACATCAGAGTTTAATTTTGTAGGTTAAATTTTTTAGGTGTCGGAGTCC